GAAGAGTTTTTTAAACAATAGCTATTAAATATCCCGTTAACTTTCACCACAAACTAAATTAATCTCCATAAGAACACACCAACAAGTCATGTGATGATCTCGCGAAAATTTTTTCTCCTAGACAAAAAATAGGCCTTGTTGTCACATTCACTTATATAATTATCGCACGAGTAAAAAATATACAATATGGTCAACAAAAATACAAATCTAATTAACTTAAGCTCTTTTTAAATAGTTTTAGATTAAACTCGGATGATATACAGTTTAAATTCACAATCATGCTTAATTTCACAACTCCTTGTGAAATTAGATTTCATGCACTCATATGTACGCAAAAATTAGCTTAAAGGGTCGAAAAGCTACGTTTGTGATTGAGTACGTATATAATTTTTTTCAGTTCTCAACCTACTCCACATCTTCATAACAAGGGAATATATATATAATATATACTATATATCTAATATAAATTATATATATATATATATATATATATATATATATATATATATATATAATATATAATATATATATATTATATATATAGCAGATGAGAAGAAGAGAGAAGAACTTATGTCAAACTTAATGGGACGCCCACTAAGTTTCTTTAGTCATTGATGATCACTGATTAGCTATATTGTGAGATCCGTTCCGTTAAACTTGATCTACATATTCTAAAACCCTAACACACCAAATTGGGTGAACCCGTCCATTGTTGACCTCCGTCGAGCATGTAAAAGTCTATATTCGAAACCGTTAAAACTTAATACAAGTTGATGAAGGGTTAAACCACGATGGTTCACCAAATTTGTGTGTTGGAGTTTGAATAGTAGATCAGTTCACGGAGCGATCATGCCACAATATGCTCAATCAAGTGATCATTAATACTAAGAAACCTTAGTGCATGTTCTTAATTTGACATAATTTTCTATATAATATATATATATATATATCTATATATATAATATATATATAATATATAATATATAATATATATTATATATATATATATATAATATATATATATATAGTACATATGCTACTATATTAAAAATAAATAGTGGTATATACGAAGATTAGTAGAGATATAAAGATGAGATTTCGAAGAAACATGCTGATGAAATACGAGGAAGAAACAATTAAATAAAAGGTGCTTGTTGTATTTGTCTTTTTCTTTATGAATCTGTAACTGGATAACATTCCTTATTTAATGTCTGTTCACTGGTGTGCAGTGTCAATGAGCACCTAGTTTAGGCTTGAAGGTTTTTGCAGCCAAGCTTACCTCTACGCATTCGTAACTCATCATGAGTGTAAAGTATATGAAAAAGAGAAAGATAGCCGCTAGAATAGGGTTTCGCGCGTACCCTAGGCACAACGAGATTTCTACCATATATATGTACATAAATACAATACATATGAGCCTTACATAATTATCAGTTGCACTATTACTCCACCCCCCCCCCCAATTTTGAGAGGTGAATACAGATGGACAAAAATTAAAGAGAGAGATAGTAAACACAATTAAGCGCAATCTCCATAAACCACACAAATTTCATAATCATTAATTATTGAGGCGCATGAATAATTAATACAGTAAACAAGTTCCTTAGGCGAGAACATAATAACACTCATCAGCATGGATTTCTGCATGAGCGACATACTAACGATATTAAAGGATGTAGCCATGGCCACATTCCCAAGTACATCTACATGGAAGTAGTGTAAAAGGACTGAGAGCGCAGAACAAAATGAATAAAAAAAGAAATAAAAATATCCTGGAAGGCACATATGTTTGCCCGAAGCTGGAACTCGTTCTAAGCACCACCGGGAGTGGTTGAGAGTAAACGGCCTGTATTACTTCCATGAGTAAATAGCTGGCATTAATATTTCTTCAAACCCAATCTTTCCTAGCACCTTTTCGGGGCATTTCAATTGCCAGTAAGGAATTGGAAGGGCTTGCTTTGCTCGAGAATTTCTCCTTAGGGAAATAGGATCATCTATAAAATCAAAATATATCAATGTTTCCTTCCTCATCAAATCGAATGACGGCAAAAGCGAGATTGGTCATTCTCAGATGCATTCTTTTGTGTTTGCTTTCCATTCTTTTGTAGCCTTGTTTCAGCATTCAGGTATTTCGGGCCAAGTTCTGTCTTCTGTCTGGGGAGCCATTGGAGCCAAAGCATTTGCTTCATATAAGCTTAGCAAACTAATTCTAAACGAGAACTTACGAACCCATTTCTGCTTCTGGTTCCCCATATTCCTTATCTATTTGTTTAAATAATTCCTTAAGGCATTAGCACCACTGTCCACGCTTTATCAATAGTCATCCACATAATTGTACTCACCTGAAAGTAGTGGCTTATCTGCTTCTTGAGCCATGCTCTGAGTTTATTGCCTGAAGAATGATAAACGGCAATAGGCCGAAGTGCATCATAACGCAAATATCCCTTGCTCTTGGCACCCTATTTTCTGTTTGGTGACGCGCACCGCATTGAATATCACCAACTAGAGAGCAAATATCGAGCACTGATGCTGTTATTGAAAATTTTCTGAAAAAATTAAAAAATAAATTAAATTTACATTTAGGTATTCATATCAAAGACACAAATATTACAGAGCTGCCTTCTTATGGAAAAACGCATGATTTCTTAAAATTGCTAGTAATCAGTTAAGCGCCAAAAACATACATCATCACTAAACGAGCATCCATAAGTATAACTACAAGAAATAAAGAATATTGAAATAAATTAAGAGAGTATCTGATGATATGAGTTTAAAAAATTGCAGTCTCTTTGCGCTGCTGGAACATGATAGCAATCTCCACAGGACAAACCAGGTCATAATGATTAAATAATGTTATTTGCAGAAGAACTCGCAGAAACTTTTTATTTGGTTGTGCCTGTGTGGTGTGTGGTTTTTATGTATGTATGTGTATTCGTCGCCGGCCCCCTTTTTTTTTTTTTGGGGGGGGGGGGGGGGTCCACATGACAGCAATATGTAGATTAATTAAACGATTATACATGATAAATTCTAAAGTCCTATGGAGCAGAAGGTAATTTGAAAGATAATCAATCATCAGGGTTGCCCAAAGGCATGCGACAGCACCTGGATGAAGCATGCTGGCATGTGGTTGAATCAGAAGATCAGCATGCGCGACACAAAAAGATGGTTTTTGTGTACAAAGGCATCCCAAACTTTTCATTCATCTGCTATAGCGCAATGCCACTTTCGCAAAAATTACCATGTAAATAAATGTTTGATAGAATATCAGATCAATATATATTTCATGGCATTCCAACATCAACTGCAACAAACATGCTATAGCTAATTTGGATAGCTAAAAAAGCATCAAGACAGTCATCTGATTCTAAGCAGGTTAAATGTCGCAAGGACTATTGGGGTCTCTGTTCGTAAATTAACTCTTCAAATGCATGGACAACATTGACGGCGAAACATGAATGGTGATTTGATTTAGCTTTATAAGTGAAAGCATGCATAAGTACTGCGAACAATGCCAATGTATATCTGTACCGAGAAAGATGAGGCGTGTCATAGTAGTGAAGAACCGCTTTAAGGCCCTGAAAACGTTATTCCTATTACTGACAGCCCACAAAACCCATCAATCGGCATTGCTTTGTTAATCCAAGGAGGACCTGACTTCTGCATATGAGTGCAAAGGAAGGGCGCCACTCATAATGGGAAATAAAATGCTGAAAGAGAATGAAAAACTGAATAACAATTTGTGGAAATTTGGACCAAAAAGATTAAGCAGAATATGCAGCACATCCTAAAGAAAGATCAATATTCAAGATGAACTTGACTTTATAAGTTTCTTGTTCTCTGAAACTTAGAACACAAATCAAGGAGTTTGGCCATGACCGAAGAAGCAAGTTACTTTTTGGGGCCAGTTTGGTATTGCATTTTTGGGGGTGCTTGCAGTTTTTTTCTTTTTTCTTTTATTTTTTGAGAAGAAAGCATTCAGTATTAATGTTATTTGGTTAAAAAAATTGTTGGAAATGCTTTATTGAAATTTTTCTGATTTTAGGGATACTTTTTGAAAGGTCAAACATGCATGATGCTTTTAAAAGTAGCTTTCTAGCTTTTTTTAGTTTATCTAGGCGCAATATGTTCTTTACTTTTTAACAATAGATGCTTTAAGAAGCACGAGTTTTGCAAAAACACCTTATGCTACTTTGAAAAGCATATTTTTTGATATATGATTAGCCAACGACTATTTTTAAGCAGCTTATATAAGTTGGGGCTTTTATAAGGGCTAGCTTATATAAGCAACTTATTATAATGGCTCCAACAAGTACGGCAAGTAGGCAAGCCTAGGCACACTTGCATATTGATTCTCGTATAAGTACGCAACAATGCACTCTTCCTCTTTGTGTAATTGACAATGTGAATCACATCAGTCAGCTGTGAATATGATTACTGCTTCCCCGTCTTTCTATAAGATGTATTTTCTTTGGCATGATTGATGATAATCTTACTTGTAGAGGAAACACGTAAGATTGTGATATTTATCAACATGTTAGCAACTTACAACTGTATGCCTCGCTATACAAAACAAAGACGTACAACCAATATAAAGGAAAATGTCAACCGATTTTTTGGGGGGTTCCAAAAAAGTTTTGTAGGATTCAGTAAGCTCACTGAAAAACTTTAAAAGATAATTTGAGGAAAAATCTTCCCTGCCTGAAGAAAAACTCCATTAATAACAGGTTTGTACTTTATTCGAAAATACGTGAGGATACTTGGATGCTGCTGATAACTAGTGGCGTACATTTTAGATACCAATTTAGATTTTGTTTTTAACCAAAAAAACACATAGCTGGACGCCCATTCATGTAGTCGACCAGCCGATGTTGTCTGTGGCCTATGCAAACCCCATTATGCTCAATAGCCTGCACAAAATTCCAGCCAAATGCCGTTTCACATCCAAAATACCTCACGCGCAACTAA